GGAYACAACTTGCTGATACAGAAGACGCTMTCTGCTGATACAATATGAGTTGCTGATATGGAGGATGTTGATCAGAAAGCCCATAGATGACAATTTTGCATTTCCACTGTACTTTTCACATGAGTTTGTAGTACTTAGTTCCCAATGAATTTTGTGTTTTGTACTGTATGTACTGAAAATATTCAACAAAAAACTGTGCCTGTTGAGGTGTCGTGTGTGCCTGGTTACAAGCATAAAGTGTGCTTTTTTTGAGTACTAGCCACCATATGCCTTTTTGTTGTAACTAGACCCAAAAGATTGAAACCAGACTACAGCAAGTCATAGTACTAGTATTGTGTACTAGAAAATATGGGCTCTCTTAGTAGTAAGGGTTCAAAATAAGACTATTGATTTCYAACAGGTTATGAGTACAATTAAATGCACCAGTTTTTAGGTGTCTTTGCTTGTTTGTTAAAGCTAGCAAAGCACCAATCAGAATTAGAGAATCTGTCAGTTGGAGAGGGTTTTCTTTTGTCTTTTGATACATGTGCATATTGTATGGGTTTCTTGCTAGAGAACCTTTTCAAGCTTCTTGATTTCTCTGCGCACCAAAAATTCAATAAATGCATTGACACAACCTCCAGCATAGCAAGGTGTCACCTCTTTAGTTCTTCATCAATATCCAACCAATCACGCTCACAAGACAAGTGTTCTAATCCKTACATTAAGGTCTCAAGGATCTGGAAGTTGTGGATCAGTGGTTTATCCATGAGCCTCTTATCAGCAAGCCTCCATATAAGCATCCTCCATATCAGCAAGCCTCCATATCAGCAAGTGTCCTTTGTATCCGTATCAGYAAGCTTTCTCTGTCTCAGTAGCTCCTATATATCAGCATCCTCTGTATCAGCAAGCCTCTGTATTAGCGAGCGTCCTCTGTATCAGCATCCTCCATATCAGCATCCTCCTCCATACTGGCAGATTGGTAGGGTCCTCTGTATCAGTAGCTCCTGTAGCTCCTTAATAGCGTCCTCCATATCAGTGGGCCTCCTCATAGCCTCATAGTAGTAGCCTCCTCTGTATAAGCGACTCTGCAAAATTGATATAAAATAGTTTCTTTAATYAAATATTGACAGCTTGCCTGTGCTGKTTGGAATTAACATTATTGTTCCACACATAGAGCAGGGGAAAAATTATACTGTTAAAAAGCTGTCACGTTGTAATTCGGACCCAAAAGGGTACCCTCTGGAACGTTATGAAACAACATGTTTCCAGTTACCTTAAGCTACTGCATTCACTACTACTCTGAGTAAGTCAAGAATATTGTTTGTGCTCATCCCCTGCACCACATGTCCGTTACTAAATGTTTGGTGTATGGTGAATWAAGGTGCTTTTCTCATTAAAAGCTACTTAAAAATTACTTAAAAGGGACTTCATAAGCTACTTTAAAGCATCTTTTAAGTCACTTTCCAGTAAAAAAAGCTATACAAATTATACTATAGTACGTAATTAACAGCTACTAGTACTTTCAACAAGCTACTTTAACGCTAAAGTAGCTTGAAAGTAGCTTCTTTAAAKCTACCTAAAAGCTACTTTATTTTTACTTCTGAGTTACCTCATTCCAACCTTAAATTGTATCAGAAATGGCTATTTTGATGGTGTGTGTTCCTTGCTGTATGAATTAGTATGTACCATACATAAGCAGGTACTGCTTCTTCTTGATAGTTGGAGTAGTGGGTCCAGTAGCTTACCAGTACACTTTTTTGCAAAATGCGACTAAAATTGTATTCTCATTATTGCCYCAAAGGCAATGAAAATTCTTACTACATAACCATATGACCCCAAATTGTAATACGGTGAAGCATACTCCTCCTGCTTTTGAGACCATATTGTTTATTTTCTACAGTAATTTTCTACAGGATATGGTACTTCTTTTTCTTGCCTACCAATCATTTAGTAGCTTTTTAGTAGTTGCATTCTCAACCATTGGTGAATAGTACTGCAGCAGAATGCAATAATACAACAAAAAATTAGTCATATCTTGATTMAGGGGAATGACTCAATGCAACTCAGTATGGAGGTGCAAACTAGCACATCATTTTGATCACTATTTCCTTTAAAAAAGGACACAGAGGAGCTGCTGATATGKAGGCTCACTGATATGGAGCTGCTGATATGGAGGCTTCTAATGATACTGTGGCTTCTGCTGATACGGCGTCCACTGATASGGAGGCTTGCTGCTGATACAGAGGCTCACTGCTGATAMRGAGGCTTGTTGCTGATACAGAGGCTTGCTGCTGATATGAAGGCTTGCTGCTGGTAAGGAGGATGCTTATATGAGTCACTGATACAGAGGATGCTGATACAGAGGAGTCCCTCTACAATTGCAGTCTACAATTTTGTAAGTATTGGTGCAGATCCATCTTACTAGTAGGAMGGGACTTGTTGATACAGAGGATGCTGATTTGAGTTGCTGATATGAGTCGCTGATAGGAGTGGTTGATATGAGCTGGTGGTACAGAGGATGCTGATATGGATGCTGATATGGATGAACCTGTGATGATACAGAGGATACTGATATGCGCCGCTGATACAAGCCAGTGATACAGAGGATGCTGATACAGATGAGCCGGTGTTAAAGAGGATGCTGATGGTGATATGCGGCACTGATACAAGCTGGTGATACAAGCCGGTGATACAAGCTGGTTATACAAGCCGGTGATATGAGCTGGTGATATGAGCTGGCAATATGAGCCATTGTTGATACAAGCCACCAGTGATACAAGCCTGTGATACAGACAATGCTGATATGGAGGCTTCTTGCTGATATGGAGATATCAATGCAGAGCTGCTGATACAGAGGCCCGGTGATACAAAGGATGCTGATACAAGTCACCAATACAGAGGATTACTATTTCTTCAATTTTTCACATGAAAATACTCTGTATTAACATGGCAGAATCTAAAGTTTGCATTGACAATGGTACTGGGCCCCTCTTTTGAACAAGAATGACCAATACAATAAAGTCCTCCATACAGAAGAGAATTCCAGCCTCAAAAATATGTCACTCTCAGCTATCATGTGCAAGGAGGGCATATCAAAATGACCTTCAGAACCCAAATGACAGTATTTCCATGTTGATAMAAAATAAGCTTTTTTCAAGGCTCATTCCATTATTGTTGCTGGTACAACATTAAAAGGCATAACATATTCAAAAAGTATTAAACAAGATCAACATAATTAAAAAAGCAAGTTGCAGTCAAATAACCCATATATTGAGCTTATTTCAACTCAAGAGGTGCAAAGTGTACTATGATTTTGGGACAGAGGTRGTACACGGTAGAGCTATTAATGGTAAGTCCCGTAGTGGCAAGTTATTGGCAATCCCTGTACAAATACTAATAATAGAAATTTTTAGCTCATTTTTACAATAAACTAGTTAAAAAGACATCCAACAGACGAAAATAAAAATATTTCATTGTTAAAATTCTTGCTAGTACAAGTCCCAAAATATTTCTATAAAGGTCCTTACTACTGGGGATATAAAATCAGTGCTTACTACTTGACGAGAATTAATATTAATGGGAGAGTAGCACCAGCAACAGAAGAACCCCCTTACCCAGCAGTTTGCAGTGTTCACTACTATGACATCCCAAGTAAGTACTAGTAATGGAGGTGATCCAGTAGTAAGCACTAGTAGTAGTATCAAATCTCTAGTAAGCACTGATTTTATATCCCCAGCAGTAACAAGGACCACAAACAGAAATATTTTAGGACTCTGTGTGGAGAGGGGGGAGAGGGGAAATAAAGACGGGAAAATCAGAAAAAATTGATACACGGGGAATTGCCAATAACTTGCCAGTACGGGRCTTACCATTAATAGTCCTWGTACAMAGTATCTGGTAATGCGTCGTTTCGTAACGTCCCTGTTTTTTACAACTAATTTAATAGGGGGTTACCACGATGTATAAAAGGGGGGAGTTACTGAATCAATTAATCACTGTAAACCTGTCCGTAACACCACTATCCCAGAGCTCGGAAGAAGTTCAACATTCAACGTTCCAAAAGAACTACTCGTACTAATACCGTACTGGGTCAGAGTACTTGGTACGTACCATATGGTATCTTCTATCTTCTACCGTACTGTACGTACCAGTGCTTTCGTATCCTACCCTCTATACTGGTGCTCGCACCTGGTCTGTTCCACTACCGTACTTCTCTTACTTCATTTTGACACGGTTTTTCTATGAGAAAAACTTGAATTTCCTCAAACGAACAATCGAGAATAGCTAGTGAGGGAGTACGGTATGTGTTACAGTATGTACAGTACCGTGCGATACGAGTGGAGAATCCCGAAAATTTTCAGCTGAGAAAAAATGCTACAACTCGGAGAGAAACAGATGGCACATTTAATATTGATAAGACAACACGAAAACGATCTAAAGTCAATAGGATGAAATTGTGTTACCTCCAGTTATTGGTATCGTTTTTTCTCTGTGAAAGGTACTGGGCCTTCGTAGAAGTATCTACCTATCGTTCAAACAAGAAGGACCCCACTGCCTTGCGCACTCTCAATGCTCTGACGGAAAGACAACAGCAGTTCTGGGAAGATGTCGAAGATGGACTCGATGGAATCGAATCTTTCTATAAGGAGAAAGGGGAAAACATTGATCGAATTAGGCGATTTGGGATGAGGTGAGTTTGTAACGAGAAAATTCGAAATCTGTTACTTTTCCGAGTAGCAAACTATGTAACGCGGCTGGCCGACGAGTGAGACTACCGAATAGGAAAGAAAGGAACGAATCGCTCTAACGATTCCCATGAAACTTTGTATCATTTATGCAACCTTAGAGCTCGAGGAGAAATTCCCTTAGAATCTGGTTATGGAGATTTCCATCAACCATCAGAGGAACATATTGAAGGTCTGACAGCGAAACCTTTTTGGGAAACATCCGACTTCCCATGGGCAAAGTCCTTGGAACAGAATTCASATATTATTCAAAAAGAATTTGAAAGTAAAGTCACTGGTGATACAAATTTATTTTCAGGGGACAGCAGTCTTCAGAACAGTGTGATGGGTGGCGGGTGGTCAGCGATTCGGTTACAAAGACTTGGAGCATGGAATTTAGAGAACTGCAAGGAATTTCCAAAAACATACGAGTTATTAAAAGAACTAGACATTCCATTGGCAGTTAGAGGGGTATGCTTTGCTCGACAGGCACCGGGTTCAGGTGTAAAACCACATAGTGACGGCCGAAATTTTATTTTGACTTCCCATCTTGGATTGAAAATACCCGAGGGCTGCTGGATAGAGAATGCAAAGGAACGAACAAGTTGGAAAGAAAATCGTTTGACAACGCTGGATACATCGTTCGTCCATTCCACTGGGAACCCTACCCACGAAGATCGCTATGTCCTAATTATCGATTTCTGGCATCCCGAACTGACGGAAGCGGAACGAGCAGGACTCGAATTCCTTTACGACTTGCGAAAYAAATTCGAAAGTGGTTTGATACCAATCCGCAAACCAAGGGGGAAGATTTTCAAAAAAGAAACACCGGTAGGGGCTGGAATTGGAGAGTGGTGGGACAATATCATAGGAGGGATCCAGAACCAAAAGGGAATCACGACGTAATTGTTTTTTTCTTCATCCAAACTTTTGATATTGGATGACGGTTATTTTGTATCAAGTCGAATGTAACAACTATCCATGCGAATTTATGAATAAATAGAAGATTATGATTCCGAACTCATTTGAAAAATCTTTTTGCAAACTAAACATCGCTATCAAGTGCAGAAGAAATGTTGGAACCTTGGTGTATAAGTAATCTAATTTGCGATTGCATTATATTTTGTAGGCAGACTAGTTTGTTTTAATCACGAAAACATGCATGGTTCGTTGTTTGTTCGTTCAATCTAGCGTGGATTTTTGATAAAATATGACCCACCCATTATTCATCTTTCTTACCAAAGATAACGTTCGGAAGGTCGACAAATTCCGTTGGAAATTCATCATACACAATTGAATAGGCAGCTCCTGCGCCAATGACAGCTCCAAATACGCCTGCGATCCGTCCTCGTCGAAGCCATAAATATCCACCAGTGGCTACTGCAGTGCCACCCATAATTTCGGGTGCATATTGTTTGCGTTTCATGTAAATTGTCTTGGCATTTTTCGAAGCCACAGCTCCGTTCTCTTCAATAGATTGAAGAGTCGACGATATTGGTTCTTTAAAGTTCAGAAAAGTTGTTTGTGCTAGACGAAGCCCGTTATTGGCGGCGCTAACTCCGCTTTTGATAAGCTCCTTAAACTGYTCTTGAGGATCCTTGCTGTCGTCGCTCATCTTTGAATTTTTCCTATATTCTCTCGATAATTGATCTTATCAGTGGGACGAGTCAAAAAGATATCGAGATCTAACGGCGACTTATTTTGTTCCGATGAGAACTGCAACAAAGGATGAACCTCAATTCATCCATCATGCAAAATATTACCGGTAGGAATGCTGTAATGCTTCAGGATATTTTTTACTTTYYACRGTATTTTTGAACAAACTCTCTCGTCCATTACGGTACGAACGTAACGTACGGTACTCTTAACCGTTGTCGTACCGGCCACAGCTATTCAAAACGCTCGTTTTCAGCGTTTTAGAACGAGTTTAGCGTTAATCTAGAGTTAGGGATAATACTAATATTTTCTGGTAAGAATTACTATGCGTTTCGTAACAATTGAATACCGTATGGTCGCTAAAGAGAGAAAAAAGTAATAATTTCAAGTTCTTGACTTCGATTTGAAGTTATGAACTTTTGCTCGTACATCATGTACCAGGTTCTACKGAGCTAGTTTATTTAAAATGACTGCTGAATGGCTGAATAGATTCCTGGGCCCCCTTAAAACAAAAAAAATTGGTTCAGGGCGATTGAGGTGATTCAAATCATGAATCCTGGCCTTTCAATCATGAATGCCATCCARAAACTAGCTCAGTAGAACCTGGTAGACTTTCTACKAGGACATTTTGAAGTTCATAACTTCAAATCAAAGTTTAGAACTTGAAATTATTACTTTTTSCTCTCTTTTGCGACCATATTCAATTGTTACAAAATGCATAGTAAGCAATTAAACAATCATATGATTGGCAGATATCCTGCATGACTGGTTCGATTTAGTCAAAGGTAGATGAAAAAATCTCTGAATTTCCTGATCACAAAATTTTTGTGATATCATTTGTGCAMCAAGTACATAGGACCAGTACTGAGGATCACTAGTGGGTCACTCGTGAATCYTCRGACCTATCATGGTACTACGAGAACTACTACTAGTAGAACTATATGATTGGGATCAATCATGAGTCCCCAGGACCAGACCTACACATATATAGGTCCCATTCCAAACCCTACTATGTACTAAGGTATATACTCATTGAGAATTCCTATTCTCAATGACATCACCTTCTAATAGAATAGAA